TGTGTGAGTGCATGTGTGTGAGTGAGTGTGTGCACGTGTGTGTGTGAGTGTGTGTGTGTGAGTGAGTGTGTGTGAGTGTTTGTACTCACTGCTGCTTCCTGAGTTGAGTTCAGTTTTCTCTTGGAGGTTGTCAGCTGGAACTCAAAGTCACTTCCGGTCAGAGAGATGTCCTCGTCCTCTGAACTGCGTCACAGACACACACAGGTCGTCAGGAGGACGATGACATCATTAGTGTGAAAGCGTTCGTATGTGTGCGGTCACTGGGTTTACCTGTATGCCTCGGACTCATCCATGCTGCTCTACAGATCAACACAAACACAATAGAGTTATTGATCAGTGGCTCAGTGTCGTTCACATCAATCCATCAGCAGACAGACAGATACAAATCTGCACAGAAGTGACCGGCAGATTCAACATTTATAAATGCAGCGCTCTTTGCTCACTTTTTGTATATAAGCCATTCACAATTTGTGTGTGTTTGTATGTGAGTGTGTATGGCTGACAAACCTGTCCCTTGACTTTTCAGTCATCAAAAGATTTTTCCTTGAATAAAAGGTATCATTTTATAACACAACAGTTTATTAAATAATGACATGTTCTGAGTCATTTATTGTATATTTATATATTTTTTCAATTAGCCCCCTTCATCTGGTACACATGTGTGTATTGTGTTATTGGCATTATAAATGTTTAAAACTTGTATTTTTTGTGAAATCTTGGATGTTGTGCCACATTTTTATTGACACAAAATTAAATGTTGTAAGTTACTGTTCATAGTCTAATCAGAGGTGAGTATTTTGCATGATCAGTAATTTTATATTAAAGGGGTCATATGATGCGATTTCATTTTTTCCATTCTCTGGAGTGTTACAAGCTCTTGGTGCATAAAGAAGATCTGTAAAGTTGCAAAGACTAAAGTCTCAAATCCAAAGAGATATTCTTTATAAAAGTTCAGTCAGCCACACCTACCTAAAACGCTCGTTCTAACACGCCCCCACATGTCTACCTCACTATGTGGGAAGATTTGCATAACGCCGCCCAAATGTTCACGCAAAGAAAGAAGGCGTAACTTTTAT